CTTTCGCTCTTTTATTGACCCCCTCTTGGACAGTGTGCCAGAAAACGCGCGCTTACGGGGACACACAAAGAACGCACAGCCGGAAGATGTTCAAGCTAACAAATACACTAAATTAGTTCAGAAAATGAGCTATTTGATCAGAAACTAATAGAAATCATGTTTTTGCGCTTATTTTCTTCAGTTTTGCAACACAAAGCACTGATTTATCATTATAAAATTGCGTCTAAACAGCCTGAAAACTTTTGTTGGCAAGAGAAAATGGACAAAGCATGGTTAAGCTTTAAATTTAAAAAAGCTACTTTCAAAAACAATTTGAAATATTGAACCTAGTACCTCAATTCTCTGAAGGCCCTCTGAAGTCCGGCGCTATAATTGTGGGCCCACCATTGAAGGAATCATTTTCGATAAGGAATCATTTTCGATAAGGAATCATTTTCATTTTCTTTCCCAAGAAATATTCTCGTTGGCGCCAACACCAAAAATAAATATACTCTTGAAACAAGGTAGGAAATAAAATTTGCTCAATTTCTATTCTCATGACAAAAATATCGTTGCAAAAAATGATTTGAGTCTTGAATCCAATAATCGGTAAAGATAAATACAAGGATAAATACAAAGATAAATACAAGAGTTTGAAGAAATAAACTGAATATAAATCGAGAAATAAACTGAAGATAAATCGAGAAATCGACTGAATACCTTATCGTTAAAATGAGAACGATTCAAATTTTGTCATTTTGTCTATGAGAATGTAGCGAACCAGAGAATTGTTAGAATCTTATCAGTTTTTCAAAAGGAGAGCTTTCAAGAACCTGGAAGGATCATTTATAACTTGTTTTAAAGAAATAAAACATACAAGCAAAACAATCAATAAAGACAAACAAAAATTGTGAGCTTTGTGCAGAAAACTGCTGAAGTCTTTTCTTGGTAGTCATCTAGTTTCTTCTCGATCGGCGCGTTGATATCAATCGCATCAAGGAATAGCTCATTAGTCGGAAATTCGCTTCCGTCGAAATCTTTTACTGGCACTTGGTTTTTCGTTCCAAATGGATTGAGAAGGCTTCGTAAAGTTGAGAGATAAGAGTCGTTCGTTCAAGAAGGTTCAAGAAAAAGAGTTGTACAAGAAACTTGAAGGATCATTGGATTACAGGGTGCGCCATAATTGTCCCAACAAAGTATCACGTACGTTTAAGGACAATAACTCGTTGATTTAAGCTTCATTTCTGGTTTTTCTTTTTGTTTTTATTATATTTGGAATATAATTGAAACATTTCCCATATAATATCTGTTGTTTTTAGAATGGCTGAAAAATTTCCCCATTGACAATCGATCATCGTATTGCACTAGTGAGGAGTCTCGGTGCCGGGAGATTCATAAGTATCTTAAAGTCGATAGAAGTGTCATTTTCCGCACTATTCAACGCTACGAAGCTATGGGACCAATTGCTGATGCACTAAGAGCTACGGGAACAATTCCTGATGCACCAAGAGCTATGGGAACAATTGCTTATGCACCAAAAGCCATGGGAACAATTCCTGATGCACTAAGAGCGATGGGAACAACTGCTTATGCACCAAGAGCCATGGGAACAATTCCTGATGCACTAAGAGCTACGGGAACAATTATTGATGCACCAAGAGCTATGGGAACAATTGCTGAGACACCCAGAAGCGGTAGCCCAACTGTCGTCACAAAGACAAACATCAAGCGAGTGAGGGACCGAATTCGAAAGAAGCCAAACCAGTCGGCAAATGGCAAAGAAGATGGCGATTTCAAGCACCTCTTGCGTCGGCTCCTCAAAAATAAACTCAAACTTACTGCTTAAAAGAAAAATAAAGCTCAACTTCTTTCAAATGCCGTTAAAAGAAGCGAAAATTGAGAGCAGATCAGTTATTCAGCTTCAATGGAATCGACCAGCACAATTTCTTGTTTACAGACGAAAAGATATTTTCAGTGTGGTCGGTTCTAGAAGTCAAAGCTGGTTCAAAGGCCCACAAAAACATCGAAAGCTTGAAGAAATCACTGAAGAAATCACTGAAGAAATCACTGAAATCAACTCACTTTGAGCCGCACTAGCACAACGGAAAGAGCAAATTTCTCATCTCTGCCTTTCATCTCTGCCTTTCAAATCGCCTTTTTAAAAAGGACAAAAACAAACCAACAGCCAAAGCAACAACTAAACCTCTTCTTTCACTTTCCATTCATCATCTTTTTCTTTGATGAAATCAAAATGATATCTTCATCCAATTGTCGACTATGAAACAATTTGTCTGATTTTTCTTCTGTAAATGTAAATGCTTTTCATTCAAAATGATTCATTTTAACAAACCCTATCCAGTCATATCAAATGAACGTTAAATTATTCGAGAATTCCCAAGTCAAATGGATTTTTCGTTAATGGATTTTTTAGAAAATCTCTGTGATCGACGATCCCACAGTGATTCGCTGAAAAATCAGCTTTCTTGATTTCTTGGGAATTCTGAGTCAATTCTGTTTTAGTATTTGCAATTAAAAAGATCAACAGAAAAGATTTTAAACTATACCCCAAAACACTGCAAGCATTCTTACTGAGTAACTCAGTAAGCTCAGTAAGCCTTCTTAGTTTGATTTAGTAACCTCAAAAATTTACCCTTAAAAAATTTTTTGAGATAACGTCTTCCGCTTTCCTCTTTCTTTTGTCGCTTTCATCAAATCTTCTTCCATTCTTCAGATCTTTCATTTTTCAAAAAGTTCCGGCACACTCTACAAAAGAAGCTCGATTTTTTAACTAAAACCCAGGTCAAAATTGGACTTACTATATAGTATTTTGAAGCTGAAATTTCGGCGAGCATTTCAACACCTAAACCATCCTGATCAGAGCCACCTAGCTCTCCAAGGAGCATTGTAGTGCGCTGGAGGGAAACTGTCATAGCACTCACCTATTTGAACCTGTTTTTAATTGAAAAATCCTTCAAAAAGTCTTTTTAAATTTACATTTTTGTTTTAAGTAACAGTTCAATTGTTATTTTAAAAGAATCAAATCTCTCGTGGAAATAAAAACGTAAAATAGTCTTCAAAACTCGGAACCCCCGAAACTCGGCTTAAAACGCCTTTTCCCCAGCTCTCGTTGTGTTTTTCGAAATCTACACATAAAAATACTCCAGAAAAAGTGGTTTTGAAGAAAAAAAAAGTGCCCTCCCCCAACCCCAAAGCCTCGCCGATATCACTCGAGAGCTCCCATTTCTCTTTTGATAAGCTCGAGAGTAAAGGCTTTTGAAAGAAATTGCAAATTGGTTCTAAATTTACCTTTTTGAAACGAATAGTCTTGCTTTTCAGGGGGTTGACATAAAAGGCGTGGCTTTTATGGGCACTTTCTAATCACCCCACTTTCCACACACGTGGTAGGCAGGTAGGCAAAGTGGGTTGGATTTCAAAAGATGAATGGATTGCTTTACCTGAGCAAATGCTTCAGAGGAAATGAATTTTCCAAAATTGCGTTAGAAAGGGTTTTGTAGAGCAATTTCTACAACTCTATAATCATTTTACCTACCGTAAATACTGTAATTGAACGGCATCCTCTAATAGAACGGCAGGGTAGGGGGAGGAGAAAAAAATAGAGCGGTCCAACTACAGTATTTACCGTATGCATTCATGAGCTTAATAGTGTTAGTTCTATGAATAAGTCTCGGCGCCTCTAACTTTTGCAATAATTCTAGACTTTTAATGATAATAACAGGCGCAAATTTTGCAATAAAGTATAGTAAGTGTGCGGCTCACTTAAAGCTAAATTCCTTGCTTTGTAATGCAACTAATGAGCAGTGGGTGAAGCTTTTGAAACATTATGGCTAACATTTCCATACAGACACGGTGCTCTTGTTGACTTGCAAATGAGGCAAATGACGCAAATGCCTCTGCATTAAGTATGCAGTTAAGTAAGAAAGAACTACAGGTTCACTTTTTATGCTTTTGAATGCTTATAAAGTTCACTTTTTGAGGTGATCGCTCTAATACAAGAATTACGGTTTATTTATTGGTTTGTGTGTGAGACAAGACTCAAAAATGGAGGACTGGAGACGTCCCGGTTTGAGGACTTTCTTCAAAAGAAACCCATTTTGGTGTCAATAGAAAAGTTGTAGAGAATCAAAAATTAGGCTTATAGCCAAATTTCCAAAAAGATACACTTAGTAGTTTCGCTTAAAATGCAAGTTTTGTGAAAATTCGTAAATTTGGCATTTCTTGAAAACCAGTTTTTGAATAGTTCTGAAAGTTTGGATATAAGCTTAATTTTTGATTCTCTACAACTTTTCCATTGACACCAAAATGGGTTTCTTTTGAAGAAAGTGCTCAAACTGTGACATATGACAATACCCGGCAGTTTACAATTCACCAACCCAATAGCATACCAAACTTAGAATCCTATTTAGGTGCGGCTTAAAGGGACTGGCGCGAAAGCGGTGCGGCGCGCTTTTTAATGCGCTACCGTACCTCGCACAAAACTCCACTTTTGCCATTCTTTTCATTTTTCTGCATTCCATTATGGAGTCGTGAATGTTTTCCGGCTTTTTATGCCGATTCCCGCATAAGTTTCTTCCCCTTTGTAAAATCTATTTGTAGATTTTTGTATAACTGAACGTCAACGTCAATATAATATAATAAATAACATATGATAACATTAAACAGTATTTGTTTAGAGATAGAGATCATAGAGATCATAACGATTCAGATTTTTTTTAAGGAAAAAGGCTTCATGATGTAATTCTTGTTAAAATATTTTGCTACATTTTCTTCTTATCTTTGCTGAGGGATTTTCCTTTTGAAATCAATCCAATAACGCGTGATCGCTAAAAGCTAAAAGCCAAATTTGGGCAATGACACGCGCTGATTCGTTTCGTATCAGCCAACACGGAGATTATAATTTTTGTACGGCTTCTTCAGCGTTTCAGTTTTCGTTTTTGATCGTTTTTGATCGTTTTTGATCGTTTTTGATTTCGAAATCTCGTCCTAGATTCAAACTTTGCAAAATGCCAAAAGATAGTGAGGATGAGCCGATATTTGCTCGTGGCACTTTTGGCAGTGTTCGCTTAAAAAAGGGAAATCCGTAAGTTTTGTTTTGTTTTCCCTCGTCATCATCAAAGTTTTTTGAACAATTTTCAAACGAATTCAAAAATGAGAACTCTAATTTGTGAATAATTTCGAGAGATTTATTCAAGAGAAGCTTACTCTTGTAAATCGGTTGATTGTAAATCGGTGGACGGTTGATTTAACCATCTAAATGAATCTTTTGTTCAGGACGATCGTTATCAAAGCTGTCAACTACAATACCAACTCTGAGCAAGATAAACGATTACGACGCGAACTTGATTTCATGATGAAAAGAAATAAACATCCAAATATTGTCACTTTCTATGAGTATCGCTTCGTGAAGGAGAAAATGATCTACGAAGTTGAGATGGAATTTTGCGAGAGGGACTCGTTTCGTAAAGGTGGGCGAGGAATAAATGGGAGAAAATGCAAATGGTCGTCTTTATTTTTGCTCAACTTTTAACTCGAATTTCTCGAATTTCTTGAATAATTCAATTGAGAGTGAAAATACTTTGGTTGTCCAGTTATGAATGCACGTTTTTACTATTTTGTAAATTTCTCAAGATATCGAACAGATGTATATGAGTGTTATATATCATTCGAAAGCTGAAGATCTCCTCTACATTTTGGAATAAAAAAGTTTTTGAATTCATTCAACTTTTTGGGAAATTGACTGCACAAAGGGAGGGGTCGTTTTCGAAAAAAAAACGCATTTCAGCTTAGCTATTCCTCAAGTTTTATGGTGTAAAATAACCGCCCAGAAAAGAAAAGAAAAGTAAAGATGCTCTGAAATTGTCATATTTAAAAAAAAGTTGTGTTCATATATCTATTGGCCAAACATCAAACGGTTGACTCAATTTGAGCGGAGCCAAAACTTGATCCAAAGGCACCCTTCCATTTTTTGGCCACCTCTTCTTCTGTGCAGTCAATTTGCCCAAAAGCTGAACAAATTCAAAAACGTTTTTATATCAAAATGTAGAGGAGATCTTCAGCTTTCAAATAATACTCATATATATCTTTTTCTTGATTTCGGTATCTTGAGAAATTTACAAAATAGTAAAAAACGCGCATTCATAACTGGAAAACCCAATACTTTAGTTCTAAATGATTCGACATTTGTGTACTCGATGAAAATGGTACTCGTTGGGCACAAAGTGATGTTGTCTTGCTGGTGGAATATCAACGGGCTTGTTTATTTCGAATTATTAGAGCCTCGATCGGCGCGTTTATATCAATCGCATCAAGGAATAGCTCATTAGTCGGGAATTCGCTTCCGTCGAAATCTTTTACTGGCACTGGGTTTTTCGTTCCATCAAAGCCGATCGGTCTCATGCGTACGTTATCGTTAGCTTTGAAAAAAGGAGCAACGTTAAATGTGATCGTTTCCTGAAATAAATGACTAACAAGAGAATGATCTGAAATAAAAATGAAATAAATGACTAACTGGCCGGACGATTTTGCTACGCCGCTGAAATGCAAACACATATCGAGCATCGAGAACACGATGCTCTATTTATTTTTTGCCCATTCTCAATGGTTCACAAGAAAAACGCTTGCAAAGTTTGGGTGCTTACTTGGGACATCGCACCTCGGGATTATATAGGCTCTTTCCCTTCCCTTCAAGCATGGCCGGCTGGTGTATACTGAACCAAAATAGATGAAGTTTCGGATTTTTCCCCAACTTGAAAGCACTATAACTTGAGAATTATACATTGGAGTCTATAAGTGTTATAGTGATTCTGAAAGCTTGAAACGAGATCTAAAGATGGCATATTTGTTATTCTGATTTGCTTTCATTTTTGACCGCTTTCAGGGCGCACAAAGTAGGGTGTCAAAAATTCACTGTTCCAACGCGGCTTTTCTTAAAGATTCCATGCTCCAATCGTTCTGAAAACATGCTTTTTGCAATGAACGTCAAAAATTACCACTAGGAGCACTAGTAAGCACTAGGTAGCAAAAAAGAAAAGACGAACAACAGGCAGAAATAAAGAGGAATAAAGAGAACAAAATGACGATATCGGTCAAGTGGGTTTTTTAAACTTTAAGACAGCAAAAAATTATTCAATGGAAACGCTCCTAGTGGTAATTTTTGACGTTCATTGCAAAAAGCATGTTTTCAGAACGATTGGAGCATGGAATCTTTAAGAAAAGCCGCGTTGGAAAAGTGAATTTTTGACACCCTACTTTGTGCGCCCTGAAAGCGGTCAAAAATGAAAGCAAATCAGAATAACAAATATGCCATCTTTAGATCTCGTTTCAAGCTTTCAGAATCACTATAACACTTATAGACTCCAATGTATAATTCTCAAGTTATAGTGCTTTCAAGTTGGGGAAAAATCCGAAACTTCATCTATTTTGGTTCAGTATACACCAGCCGGCCATGCTTGAAGGGAAGGGAAAGAGCCTATATAATCCCGAGGTGCGATGTCCCAAGTAAGCACCCAAACTTTGCAAGCGTTTTTCTTGTGAACCATTGAGAATGGGCAAAAAATAAATAGGGCATCGTGCTCTCTATGCTCGATAGGCGTTTGCTTCTCAGCTGCGTAGCGAAATCGTCCGGCCAGTTAGTCATTTATTTCATTTTTATTTCAGATCATTCTCTTGTTAGTCATTTATTTCAGGAAACGATCACATTTAACGTTGCTCCTTTTTTCAAAGCTAACGATAACGTACGCATGAGACCGATCGGCTTTGATGGAACGAAAAACCCAGTGCCAGTAAAAGATTTCGACGGAAGCGAATTCCCGACTAATGAGCTATTCCTTGATGCGATTGATATAAACGCGCCGATCGAGAAGAAGCTAGATGACTACCAAGAAAAGAGTAAAAAAGAGTTTGACCGTGAGAGTATGCTTTTTACAAAAGATGTTTTCTTTGCTGACGACGCCGTGAAGAAGCAAATTCTTCGAATACAAGAGATTGGGATAGCAGTAGGGCAAGCCTATCGACACAGTCTTGACAAAATCGTGCCCGATCCAAAACATCTAAAGAAAGTCGACCGTATGTCGGTGACTATTAGAGCAAAGAAGAAATTCGTGGTCTCTCTAAATTTTTTCGCCAAAGTTCCAGGGAGTCGAGCTCAATTTCTCGATGAAATTTTCTACGAGCTCTTGACCCCGAATCCATTTTTGTCGACCCTATTGAAGCAGAGTTTTTCAGAAAAAATGCTCATTGATGTGCTGACGAGTTTCTATCATTTGCATTTGGTTCCATTTCACGAAAGTAGCTACAGTTTGAGGAGATTATATTTCAAAGCATTCGAATGTTTAATCGAAGCCAACCAGACACCATTTGATCAGCTATCAGAGATGAAAAATCGAATCCTCGACGTGATTTCTCTGCTTAAGCGCGAAAAGAACAAGAAAGCAAATCAAGAAATCATTCCGTTAGCCTGCTATCGTGATGAGTCGCAAATATGGATTCTACTCTCGAAAAATGAAAAGCACTTTATGAAAACAAACTTTTTAGAGCATCGATATCTGGACGGAGAATTTGCAAAAACGTTCACCGAATTTCATTTAAATCTGGGTGAAAAAAAGGTTAAGGTGTTGAAACTGAGCCGCCTTTATGGTTTCAATATGAGCTCCCTGCTGCAAATACTCACAAATAAGTTGAATGAAATTGAGGAAGACCTCGTAAACAGAGAAAAGGTATCAAGCAGTCACAAATGGTTGGAAATGCCAATGTATGAGCCGCATATAAATTATATTTTCGATTTCAACTCTTCTCCGGCCGACCCTCAAGCAACCATGTTCTCCGAATTGGATCAAGAGTCGCTGGAGGAATTGATTGATGCTCATTCATTCTATTGTCGCTCCTCGCCATATAAATTAAAGTTTATGTCCTCTTTGTATAGAATTTTCGGGAAATCGGATCGACAAGAAAAAGTTGAGCATTTCTTGTTTCGACGCTTGAAAAAAACGGGAAACCAATCACATCAGTTGCTGTTATTAGAAAAGGTGACAAGTGTGAGCAAACGAGTGGTCTATTGCCTCAATTTCGATCAATCTCATTTTGAGAAACGATGGGTTGCGCTTGATTCGGTGGACAGTGTTGTCGTGAAACATTCACTTATCGATTTTCATCAAGCATTCATGGAGGCAAAGTCGAAAAATGTTGTTGATTTGACCACAAAAATCTGAGTTTCTCTTTCTGATACAGGCCACAACGGCGCGAAAAATTTTTCTGATTAAAATTCACGTTTTCAATTGCGCTGATACCGAATCTGAAACTTTTTTTCAAAATCGGTTCAATAGTTTTTCTTTAAAATGAGATTTACTCAAAAGTCCCGTTATGGGGTTTCGAAAAAGCACTCGAAAACATGTATTTCAAGATCGATCAAAAATTCTTGCTTTTTCAAAAATCAAAAATGTTTTTTTCGTGCGCAATACTTACGCAATACGCAATACTTTTCTGGCAATACTAAGTTGGCCGAGTTGCTTAAGTAGTTGTAAATTCTGTGATCTCCGTTTGATTAGCCTTTTATACGTTAGGAAACTCATCTTAGATTTGATGGCATCTTTTTGTTGTTTCTTTTCCAATTGCATCTCAACCTGCTTTTTCCGTGTGGCTTTATTTGCAAGTCGTTGTCTTCTGCTCGCCCTGTTGTCTTCTGTCTTCTGCTCGCCCTGTTGTCTTCTGTCTTCTGCTCGCCACGTTGTCTTCTGCTCACCTCGTTGCCTTCTGCCTTCTGCTTGCCACGTTGTCTTCTGTCTTCTGCCGGCCACGTTGTCTTCTGCTCGCCCGTTGTCTTCTGTCTTCTGCTTGCCACGTTGTCTTCTGCTCGCCAAGTTGTCTTCTGCTCGCCTCGTTGCCTTCTGCTTGCCACGTTGTCTTCTGTCTTCTGCTTCCCAAGTTGTCTTCTGTCTTCTGCTTGCCACGTTGTCTTCTGCTCACCTCGTTGCCTTCTGCCTTCTGCTGGCCACGTTGTCTTCTGCTCACTCCGTTGTCTTCTGTCTTCTGCTGGCCAGGTTGTCTTCTGCTCGCCTCGTTGACTTCTGCCTCATTGTCTTCTGTCTTCTGCTCGCTATCCCCCAAATCAATGTGTTCATAGAATGTCAATTTAAATTAATGTTTTGAATAGTATAAGTAATGTACAGGAAACTTAAAAAAGAATAAAAGAAACAGAATAAATCTAAAAAAGAAAAGTGGACAAAATTTTTGAAAAAAAGGAGCTATAAAAAAGTTTTTCAAAAATTTAAACGTAAATTTTGAATTGGTTGCATTTTAGAATTCGATCCTTAAGCTATTGTGCGCGGGTTACGGTAGGTTACCCATTGTGATCTTAAAAACATTTTATCTGACCTCAAAATCAATGGATTTTGACGTTTTTAGTCTTAAAATGACCAGAAAGGAAATATCTTTAAAAATTCGCCGGGGATTTTTGATCTATCCTGAAATACGTTTTTTAGAGTGCCTTTTTAGAATAGAGACGGCCTTTTAGAAACCCCATAATGGGATTTTTGAGTAAATCTCATTTTTAAGAGAAACCGTTGAAGCGATTTTGAAAAAAAAGTTTTAGCTTCGGTATCAGCGCAATTTTTTTGCGTCGAATGGTATGTCAAACGTGAATTTTGACCAGAGAAATCTTTTTTGCTTTATTTTACGCTGTTGTACAGAATGCGGCGAAAGTTTTGTCCTTTAATTGTCCTTTTTAAATTCTCTTTAATTGAATTTTCTCTGATTTTTATTATTTCATAAGTGTTTATAGCCAAAAGATAGCCGATTTTCTAAAGAATTTAAATCTTATTATCTTTTTAAAATAGTTCCTTTAAATGTTGAGTGATCACAATTCGCGTGAGCTCTGTGGTCGCACCAGTTATTCGGTTGTAAACGAAATCTTTACTCTTTCTTAATGTGGCGAATAGCCACTAAAAAGTTACCTCACTCTGACAGCCTAAAAATTGGAAAAGTATTGGGGGGTGGGACAAATGCGACCTTTTTTGCTGGAAAAGGCCTTAGGCCAGGCCGTAGAGCTTCGAAAATATTTCCATATAAGGGAATTGTATGCGTAGATTCCGAATTTTGACAAATCAGACCTCGCTGACACGTCAAATTTGGGTTAAAAGGCAAAAACTGCGGAAAAGCGTTAAGTTGCGTAGTTTTTGCCTTTTAGCCCAAATTTGACGTGTCAGCGAGGTCTGATTTGTCGAAATGCGGAATCTACGCGTACGATTCCCTTCTATGAAAACATTTTTGAAGCTCTACGACCTTTCCTAAGGCCTTTTCCAGCAAAAAAAGGTGCGCAAATGTCCAGGTGCGCAAAAAAAAGGTCGCATTTGTCCCACCCCCAAGTATTGCAGAAACCCGTGCGCCTTCATTCTATTTCGCGCCCCAAATCATTTATTATTTTGTAGCTTGTTAGCTGAATATCTTGTGTTAAAGCCTATATAAGGCAACGGTTGTTCATTTGATGTGATTTACTTCTTTTCTGCTTCCCTTTCATCGTGTGAAAGTTGTTTCCTAATTACGACGAAATTGTTTCTGTTTTTATCGTCGCTTTTTCAATTCAATTGTCGATTTTGTGTGAAAATTGCTCAAGTGAAAGCCCAAAAATTCCGAGTCGGTTGACTATTGAATAAAGTGTCTTCGTTCAAGTGAGATCAGATATCTCGAAACAAGAAATAACGTGTCTTCAGTGAAGAGTACCACAGTACAAGTGAAGAGTACACGCAAAGAATATTTCTTTACACTGAAATTGCTAATATCTCAACGTAGAATCAATATATTCGAATGAAATTTTAAACGGATTATTCTCGAAACGAAATTATAACAAAAAACACGGTGCTACTACCTTTTAGGGCTTAGACTCAGGCCCTTTAGGATAGTAGCATCATGTTTTTTGTTATAACTTGGTCGCTAATTGCCGAATAAATTTATAATTTGGACATTAAGCTTGTTAGATTTTGAGAATAATCCGCTTAAAATTTTATTTAACTATACTGATTCGACGCTGAGATATTACCAATTTAAGAAAGGGCCAAGACATAGTTTACAACTTAATATTAGTAATATCAGTATAAGAAAATCTGTCAAACTTAGAACCCAGACGGTTAGGAGTATTTAAAAAAATAATTGTTTATCAGTTTCAAACTGGATTATATTTAGCTTTTGTCTTAAATTCGTTGATATTCAACATTTATAGTGTTCAGTGTTCAGCCAATGATTGAACACTGGCTGAAGGAAGTTTTTAAGCGTGCCCCTCTTGCTTTTCGCCTTCATTTGTTCACATTGAATTGCATAATTTAGCAAATTTTCAGGAAGATCTCTCCAGCCGTGCAAAAAACGGCGCGACGGCTACCACCAAAAAGGTTAAGGGTTCGATTCCGGCTCGCGATTCGACTTTTTTTGCAAAAATCTCAAAAATGATTTTCTAAGGGTAATTTAATGAGCTGAGTACGAATCACGTGTTTTTAGCCTATGTTGCCAAACAACAAAAACTATCGAAACGAAATCTCGGTCTTTCGGTCTGATTGAGCTCACTAAAATGCCTGTTAAAAACTTCAGAATTGTATGAATTCAAAAACGGTTTTTCCCTTTTTCCCGCCTTGAATTCAGCTTTCCAATGAGCTATAACACGTGTAGATTGGTAAGAGCCTCTGCGAACAAAAAGGGAGAGAACTTACTTTCCAATTCAATGTCACCTTGTCGAGAATTAAGTAACCTTTCTACTAGAATTAAGTAGCCTTTCTACTAGAATTAAGTAACCTTTCTACTAGAATTAAGTAACCTTTCTACTAGAATTAAGTAACCTTTCTACTAGAATTAAGTAACCTTTCTACTAGAATTAAGTAATTAAGTAACCTTTCTAATTAAGTAAACTTTTATACGAATCATGTGTCATTTAACAAAGTCTACTAGAAGTTTTAGAATTTTAGTCAAAAGTCATACTCGCCAATCCAATAGCATTCAGTTTATAGCCAAAAAAATAAAACAATTATCAACCAGAAATCAAAGGCAAGGCTTTTTTATGTTAGAAAAAAGACTTTATTTTTTGTTTCGATGCATTCCGTGAAGATAAAAGTTGCTCGTTTGCTTTTATTTTTGCCTTTGCTAGCAATTTTATTCTGCATAGAATTTTCGGGCTTTGAGATAAGAGATAAAACATTTGAGTGGAAATGAAGTAAACAATGAGAAAGGGAAAATGACTCAAAAGAAGACCTAAGTGAAAATAAGAAGGAAACAAAGGAAACAGATTCATCTATACGAACTTTCCACTTTTAAAAGGCTATCAAAATTTCAAAGTCAAGCTGTCAAAGGGTGAGCAAATCAAAAAAAGTTACCGTAAATACTGTAATAGTACCCCACCCCCATAATGACGGTGCGAAGTGTTGCGTAGTCTAGCTTTGAACGAGTTTTTCTCGACACTGGTTTATGCTACAATGCACGTTTAGGTGTCAGATGAAAGCTGAAATTCAGGGCTATTTTTTGATACCAAAGACGCATTTTTTGAAAGTATGGGCGCTTTGAAAAAAATGAAATACTGAAAAACGACTACGCGACTACTTTGCGACTACGCGACTGTACGAGGGGGGAGGGCACTACTATTAGAGGTATTACGGTAGTTGCTTACGGGTGTAACTTTCGAATGGGTCTCTTCAAATGTTTGATTTTCGATCATAAAAAAAGAGAACTTAAAAATTCATCGTTTCCTCGCTAGAATCCTATAATTTCTTTTGTTCTTTTTGTTTAATTTATTAAATTTCAATTTACCGCCATCCAGGAAAGCCTGTTGATGCTCGAGCTGAAATTTGATCCCGTTCCCCGAATCGGTCACATAAATGTGCGGGGTGTGAGGGATGTAGTGGGGAATCATCATCTCCCCCGTTCCCACTAAATCCATCGAAGTCTTCCCGCTCTCCTTGAAGCGCATCGAATGATTCAGACAATGCGAAACCAACGATCCATCTGAGTGGAAAATTTGAAAGAAATCATGATAATTGATTTCCTTAACGAGTAATTTTAAACACATTGACCCAATAGCATTCAGTTGATAGTAAAGTTTATAGCATTTGCTTAATGCTTAATGCCTAGTTTATAGCTCTTGCAGATTTTGAGCTCTTTTGTGAAACGGCAAAATTTAGATCAAAATGAATAACAAAATCCCAGAAATTTACACGAAAAGACTTTGAAGAGTGCCAAAAAAGAGCCGATTTTTTATTGTTTTTCAATAATTTCTTTCTAAGCGCTGGTTAATGCTAAAAATATATGTTATAACTCAAAAAATCACCCATTTTCTCTACTTTAATTTGATACCAAAGCGTGGAGAAACAAACGTACTGGTGTCGAGATATGAGCGGTTTTTTGAGTGCAAACTTAAACTACGCGACGCTCCCATAGAAGGTCTTCTATTAGAGCTTTTACGGTAATTGTGGGACACCCTGTATATGTTCTCGGATCAGAATTTCTTTTAGAATCGTTTTGAGTCTTCAAAAACTATTGGTTACCTTAGAAAAATGCGATTTTTTTGAAGCTTTTTTAAAGCCTTTTTGAAGCTTTTTTGAAGCTTTTTTGGAGCTTTTCTGAAGCTTTTTTTGAAGCTTTTCTGAAGCTTCCTAATAAAGCTAACGTCGGATTCGGAAAGAGGGCCCAAAAATACATGCTCTTGCAGATTTTGAGCTCATTTGCTTCAGCCATTCACGAGAAACAGCTGTGACTCAGCATTGAGTACAGCTGTTACTGTCAAGTACTGTTATTGAGTACTGTTAAGTACAGCTTAAAGCCTCTGTTAAGTACAGCTTAAAGCCTCTGTTAAGTACAGCTTAAAGTGTCTGTTAAGTACAGCTTAAAGCAAGCTAACGATCTTTTATCAGCGGCTGCTTTTGAGTTCACTTGTTCACCGTTCAGTTCCCTTTCCCATTCATCAACTTGCCTGGAGTCTCGTAATCAATCGATAGATAGAAAATATTGAGCATGGAGATTTTCATGTGAAACACCGTGTAATCTCGACTCTTTCCATTGTTTCGCACAAGCGTGTAACCATTGCCTTGCTTGGCTCGATAATACACTTTGTGTTCGGTGGAGGCGTTGTTTGATTCAGCTGAAATGCTGAATTGAATGCAAAAGTAAGCTACTTCAAAAAAACCTTTTGATACATTTTGATTTAGTTTTGGTTTAACTTTGGTTTCGTTACTCAAATCTACTTTGAACATTATTTCAAATAAATGCATGAAAACTAAAAACTAACAAACTCTGAATTCGCAAAATCCTCGTACACAAGTTATCAACTGAAAGAGGTAAAAACTCGAAACTTACAAAGACTTATCGTCCCGTTGGTAGCTTCCACCGATTGTGCCACCGTCTCTTTTGTCTTCTCGATTCCATCCGCGTCGACTCGAGCCCAAATATTCCTCGAGCTACGATTGTAAACAACGACTCGGCCAGCAAAATCCTCACGAAGCATCGGTCGGCCAATGTCATCCTTTTCACCGAATCGGAATTGTTTCGTGAGGATGTTGGCGCCGATTTGCACCTCACTACATTTAATGATTGGATGATTTTCACAGTAGATCGACCACGACCCATCATTATTCTCAGTCCAAACGGTGAGAAAAGCGAAATTCTTCCCGTCTTCGATTAGATCAAAAGCTATCTCGTTGCCGTTGGCCACAGAGCCTACAATGGTAAACGAGGTCGACGTGTCAACAATGTGAAAGACATCATACACAGAGAGATATGAAACGCTGGCCGAGATTGAGCCTGAAATCTTTTTTGAACCAGTGGAAAATTCAATTTAGATGTTAAGCGTCCCCTTTTTAATGTCGTCCCCATTTTAATGTCGTCCCCCTTTTAAAAATGAACCTAAAATTCAGATTCTCCATGGCTGAAAACCCCCGAGAGCAGGATATCGCGAAAGCTGAATACTTTGCCTTTTAACCGATAGAGTAAATGTAAAAACGGAGCGTCGCGTTTGCGAACAGACAGACAGACAGACAGATGTCTCTTCTGCTAGATAAGTACAACGATTAAATCATTTGAAATGTTTGACATGGCATCTCGATCCCAAAAAAAAACTGCATGCGTTGATTCTAATCTTTCTAATCCACTTCTTAATGCAAACAAAGCCAATAGTTATAATCTTAAAGCTTTAAGATTATAATTATAATAATAATCTTCAAGCTTTTATTGCTAGAGTTAAGGAAGAAGTGAAAAACTTTAATAGTAAAGGTTTTTTAGAGTAGAACAGAACAGAACATAGAAAAGAACTTATGATTTCACCTGCTGGCGTCTTGAGCTTGCCGCTTCCTGTGATTGAGAGGCATTTCGTGTAACTCCGTGAGCAATCCACCCGAACGCGAGCCCGTCGATCGAGTTGATTCTTCACGACCACCTTGCTCGACTTTTGACCCATTCTTTCGAATAATTGAAAGTGCTTTCTTTTAAAACAAATGGTTTCTCTTTTTTGGATGAGCGCTGCTGATTGACTGTCGTAAAAAGCTGATAAGAGGTTTTGACAACTATTTGCTATTTTCTAAGACAACAGCTGGATAATTTCTTGATTTTGCAATGCAATCTCTTTCAGGAATTCATGTTTTCAATAAATAAAAAAAAGGAAAGCGTTAAAATTTATATGAAAATGAAAAAAAAACAATTTATTTTCTTTTTGCTGCCACCGCCGTCACAAGCAGTTATTAATGTGCTTCAATGGAATCGACCATCACAATTTCTTGTTTACAGATGAAAAGATATCTTCAGTGTGGTCCGGTTCTAGAAGCCAAAGCTGGTTCAAAGCTGGTTCAAAGTCCCACAAAAGCATCGAAAGCTTGAAGAAATCACTGTTGAAAGCGTGGGAAGAGCCCGAACCAGCCTATTTGCTCGCCACCGTTGACGTTGACGCCTTCCCGGAAACGCCGGCGAGCCTGCTCAAATGCTAATGGTGGCGGATTCGAATTTCATAGTTGATTCATAAAGTCAGTGCTTTTGTTTTATGTTAACGCAAAAATTTAACAAAAGATCTAGATCCTCGAAATTTTCAATAAATAAAAAACAAGGAAAGCGTTAAAATTTATATGAAATTGATTTGAAAACGAAAAAAATACAATTTATTTTCCTTTTGCTGCCACCGCCGTCACCTCAGACGCCCAATATGAGGGAAGTTGAGCGTATGGGTTGGGCGTCTTGAGATTTGTGATGTACACACTGCCAGCATGCTTAGCAATGGCCACGTTCACGTCGTGGTTGAGCTAAAGTTAAGCGCTTGAAAATGGTCATAAAAGCAATCGAGTTCTTTCGTTCCTTATTCTCAATTGTATCATTTCATTTTATGGCACACAAAGGCACAGCTATATAAAATTTCAGTGCGTATTTTGGCTGTTTCCAGAAAAACTCATTCCTGCGCCCGCTAGGGCTCCGACGGACAAACTGACATTTCGAAATTATATATAGGTGACACCAAATGATCAATTTTAAGAAAAAAATGAAAGCAAGGGCTTAGGTAAAATCAAATCAATTGAGGTAAAATCTTTTAAATTGAATGAAATGGCTTTTCATTCAATTCAATGGCTTTGAGAGTCGATCTCATGACTCATAACTTGTTTAAGTTGAAATTACATCTATCTATTGGGTTGGTGAATTGAAAACTGCCGGACTTTGAACTAAAATCTAAAATCTAGAACTAAAAACTTTGAAATCTCCAAATTTGCCCTTATTGACTCACTTGGGGAGTTGTTTAGCTGAAATTTGAAAGTTAATTGCTAGTTAATTGCTAGTTAGTTGCTATGATCATTCTATTGGGTTGGTGAATTGAAAACTGCGGGACTTTAAACTAAAATTTATTCAACATAAAACCATCAATTCATTCCAAATAATTTCCATTATTATTTCCATTATTATTGACGACTTCTGCCCATTTTACAGGCAATTTGCGGATTCCTCTTTCGTAGTAGGATTTTGGTTTGTGTGTGAGACAAGTGTGAGACTCAAAAATGGAGGACTGGAGATGTCCCAGTTTGAGCATTTGAGCACTTTCTTCAAAAGAAACCCATTTTGGTGTCAATAGAAAAGTTGTAGAGAATCAAAAATTAGACTTATAGCCAAATTTCCTAAAAGATACACTTAGTAGTTTCGCTTAAAATGCAAGTTTTGTGAAAATTCGTAAATTTCGCATTTCTTGAAAACCAGTTTTTGAATAGTTCTGAAAATTTGGATATAAGCTTAATTTTTGATTCTCTACAACTTTTCCATTCACACGAAAATGGGTTTCTTTTGAAGAAAGTGCTCAAACTGTCACATATGACAATAGCCCTCAGTTTTTTCAATTCACCAACCCAATAGCAACGAAAATTTTCTTTCCCTTAAAGTCTATTTTTAAAAATTGCTTTCAAACTATAGAGAAACGTTTTGAGCGTTTACCTGAGCCGCTGTTGCATTGTAGACGATGTGAATGAAGCGATTTGTGGAATATTTCCCCATCCATGCAGTCACGCGATAGGCCGGGTAGTTGGCTTGCGGATTCTCGTAAACAGCGAAACGATCGGCCACTGGGGTGCTCACATAAATTTCGGGAAGGTTTAGGCCCGGGTTGTTGATCACCTAACATTTTTCTTTTTGTCTTTCAGCAATCTCGACTGTAGAGCTCTCTTTACTCACCTCATATTTTGCCGATTTCGCTTTGACAAATTGATGGAGCGTCTTGTAATAGTTCACATGAGCCGCCGAGTTGCCGTTGGCCATTTCGTCAAAGAAAATCCCGTCGAGAGTGTAGAATGAGAAATATTTGTTGACTTGGGCTTTCACAGCAGCTATCGCGTTTTTTCCATAACCTGTCGGCACGTAGCCGATCACTTTGCCGCCGGCCGCTCGCACCTGAAATAGTTTCACTTTTCTGATGATCTCCAGAGATAGACACACTTTAGCGATTGCTGTCTTGTAGATCGGATCAGCCGATGTGCCGGGGCCGCTGTTCGGGTTGAGAATAGCGGTCAGCTCGATCTTGTTGGCATTGGCGGCCAGTGTGTTCCAGTTGCTCAACCCGGTGCCGGATGGGTAGAAATAGGCGGGCACCACCACACCAACCGCTTTCACACTGCCGAGCACTGCCAACAAAAAGACCATCCCCGTGCTCATCATCATTCAGAAAAACGGGGGGAATATGGATGAAATGATGTATACTCTGGCTTTTATATTCTAAAAATTCTATTCAGTTATTGAAAAAAAAAGCCGGCATAAAAGCATGAGCTCTCAAAGCCCCGAAATAGCCAAAAATGTATTTGATTGTTATTGTGAGGATTTAAAAAAATTTTAGAAAGATTTTAGAACAGAAAAACATGTTTTCAAAAGTTTAGGGGTTCAAGTAATGTACGCATATAGTGTATTTTCTGATTTAAAAAAGCAAATACACCCATAGTGAACTCAAAATGTCAAAAACGATCTCCTAACTAGGGATCTCGAGTTTCATGGCCAAGTGGTCGAGAGATCGGTTCCTTATCTCTAAATTCGGTTCCTTATCTCTCTAAATTCGGTTTCTTATCTCTAAATTCGGTTTCTTATCTCTCTAAATTCGGTTTCTTATCTTTAAATTCGGTTTCTTATCTCTAAATTCGGTTTCTTATCTCTCTAAATTCGGTTTCTTATCTCTAAATTCGGAGATAAGGACCTAAGGCGCGGGAGGACAGTCTGTGGCTCTAATAGGGCGTTGTTGGTTCGACTCTCCGCGTAGCGAGAACGTTTTGCAAAAAATATTTTCTAAGAGTTTCAGATACTTTAATGAAATAGTTACAAATCGAGAAGTTAACTACTAGAAATTAGCGTATAATAACTAATAATAATAATAATAATAAATAATAATAATAATTAAAACTGTGAAAATAAACTATATGGAGTTGGTTGGCTTAAATTTAAGAACGAATTCGATTTCTAGAGTCTTTTAAGGTGCAAATTTGTGGCATTTGATTATTCATTTTGATCCCTGGTCCAAATCGATCGTTTCACAAAAGATGCGCGGTCGTCAAAAATGAAATTCCCCCGAAATTTAGTCGAGCTCGAAATTTAGTCGAAAACTGCGAGGCGATAATTTACGGCCACCCTTTGCATAGGGCTAAAGGATAACGAATAAAAATATCCGATTTCATCTTGTTCTTGTTCTTTCATCTTGTTTACTCGTGAATAATCTATACCAACATTTCTCGAAAATCTTTTTCGAATTTAGAACTTTAATTTAGAATATTCAAATGAAACTCCGAGCTGTTGGCTACATGGCAAATGAAGAGCTTGTCAATTTTCGAAAAGAGTTTTTCTATTTTAAAATCTATTTTTTTTGTTCTTTAGATGCTGGAAGATGGAATGCAAGAGACCGGGAATTGATGTTGAATATTTGAGTGCTGCTGTTAAATTGGCTGGCTTTGAGGTCGAGGTTAAGTTTATTTTTAGTTTATTTTAGTTTAGTTTAGTTTGGTTTATTTTAGTTTAGTTTATTTTAGCTTGGTTTTAGTTTAGTTTTAGTTTAGTTTAGTTTTAGTTTAGTTTAGTTTAGTTTAGTTTAGTTTAGTTTATTTTAGCTTGGTTTTAGTTTAGTTTTAGTTTAGTTTATTTTTAGTTTAGTTTATTTTTAGTTTAGTTTAGTTTATTTTTAGTTTATTTTAGTTTAGTTTAGTTTAGTTTAGTTTAGTTTATTTTTAGTTTAGTTTAGTTTATTTTTAGTTTGGTTTATTTTTAGTTTAGTTTGGTTTAGTTTAGTTTTAGTTTAGTTTAGTTTAGTTTATTTTAGCTTGGTTTTAGTTTAGTTTTAGTTTAGTTTAGTTTATTTTTAGTTTATTTTAGTTTAGTTTAGTTTTAGTTTATTTTTAGTTTAGTTTAGTTTATTTTTAGTTTATTTTAGTTTAGTTTATTTTTAGTTTATTTTAGTTTAGTTTAGTTTAGTTTAGTTTAGTTTAGTTTACTTTTAGTTTAGTTTTAGTTTACTTTTAGTTTATTTTTAGTTTACTTTTAGTTTATTTTTAGTTTTTAATTCTCATTTTTCGATTTAGGTCCTTCCTGAGGATATCAGAATGGAGGAAATTCTGGCATTAATAGGAAATGGAAGTGTTGATATTTCGGTGCACACGATCGTTCAAAGCATTGATCGAATGCAGTTGGTGAGTGAGTTCGAGGAGAATTTTCAGATGGATTAAATAAGTTAGTAGACAGTTTATCCAATTGAAAATGCAAGTTTCAACATAAAAACTGCTTAGATGAGCCTTCATTGATCGATTATTTAATCTTAAAAATGCGATAGAAACTAATAACTTTTAAGAATAGAAAAATTAAATAAATGGCTGATAGATGGAAAAATGCAATCTTAGCATCTATCTGAAGTTGGCTGAGAATAAAATGAGTCTAAATGCGTCGCACCGTAGCCCCGTCTCGATGGCTTGCCATGGGGTGGAGGTAGATGGTGAACCATAGTGAGCAGGACGAAGCCGGAGGAAGCTCCGGTGGAGATTCGTAACGATTCTGACGTGCAAATCGATCGTCTGACTATAGGGGCGAAAGACTAATGGAAGCATCTAGTGCAAAAATATTCTTAAGATATATGTAAACAAAGCTTTGTTGCTTTTTTCTCTTCATACTAGCAATTTATAACGCTCGAAGCCTAAAATAGCTTCTTTTTTCCATGGGCAAAATAAAAAGTTGATTTTCAGATGGATTAAAGTAAAGTTTAATTAAGAGTTTAACAATTTAGGTGGATTTTACAACGCCCATCAATTATATCCTTTATGGATTCATTGCAAAAGAATCGGATGAATTGAAAGTTAGTCGTAAAGGCTGAAAGAGTGCTTCTTCTCTAGGTTCAAGATTTCATCATCGATTCGATTTCACCCGAAATCATTTTACTGATGATCGTTGCTTTTACATTCAGGTGACATTAATTTACATGTTCTTTGATTTTTGGGAAAATCCAAATGAAAGTTAGCTTGTTAACTTGTTAGCTTGTTAACTTGTTAGCTTGTTAGCTTGTTAACTTGTTAACTTGTTAGCTTGTTAGCTTGTTAACTTGTTAGCTTGTTAACTTGTTAATTTGTTAGCTTGTTAACTTGTTAGCTTGTTAACTTGTTAGCTTGTTAACTTGTTAACTTGTTAATTTGTTAGCTTGTTAACTTGTTAACTTGTTAGTTTGTTAGCTTGTTAGTTTGTTAGGTTGTTAACTTGTTAGCTTGTTAACTTGTTAACTTGTTAACTTGTTAGCTTGTTAACTTGTTAACTTGTTAACTTGTTAACTTGTTAGCTTGTTAACTTCCTCAATTCCAGTCCATTGTTGATGTGGTTCTTCTCTGGATATCAACAAAATTACATTCTCTGGTTGCTGCATTCCGTCAGAGTTTTGCTGAAACAAGATGGTGAAATCAAGAGGTTTGAAAAGAAGTTTTCTATTTGAAATTCTAGAAGATTTTCGATTCTAGAAGATACACCACTTCAAATTCCCTCTTTACGATCAGTTGGATTTGGTTTTGTTTCTTTTTCACTTTATTTTATGAATCTGCAATGAAAAGCAATTTATTGTTATCGACAAAGAAGGGGTTCGTGAGATTTTGATATTAATTTACATCAAAAAATCAATGTCATCAAAAATTTCCCTCATAAAAAGCTCTCTTTTTCAAAAAAGCTCGATTTAGCTCGATTTAGCTCGATTTTTTAGTTAAAACCCAAATCGAAATTCGACTTACTATATAGTATTTTGAAGCTGAAATTCTGGGGAGCATTTCTACGTCTAAACCAACCTGATCAGAGCCACCCAGCTCTCCAAAGAAGCATTGTAGTGCGCTGGAGTCAAACTGTCATAGCGCTCACCTATTTGAACCTGTTTTTAATTGAAAATCCCTTTAAAGACCCTTTTTAAATTTATACTTTTGTTTTAAGTAATAGTTCAATTGTTATTTTAAAAGAATCAAATCTCTCGTAAAAATAAAAACATAAAATAGTCTTCAAAAACATGCGAAACTGTGTTTGTCTAATGAGCGATTTGCCTCGAATCCAGCGCTTCTTGAAAAGGCTAGAAATTTTTGAGTGTTTAGAGTGATTTAATTATAGAAATGTTCATCAAAATTTCAGCATCAAAGGATTTTAGTTACGAATTTCAAGAGATCAATGGACTAATCGATGCTCTAGATAACAAAGGTAAAAGGTTGGAGTGATAGATCGTATCTTTCTGGTTCCCGGGAACCAAAGCTTTTCAGCTAGACTCTTAAGTTGTTTTTGCAACAAATGGAATATGTTGATTGGAAAGAAAATTCTTTCAAAAAAAAAAACCCTTTCTTTTTCTGAATCTGTAACCGTGTGTAACAAAGGAAAGGCACGAGATCAAGGTTGCCTTTGTAGTACTTGATAGAACTAAACCCAGTGTACTTCTATAAAGTACACTAAAACCAGTGTACTTGATAGAACTTTTTACGCTGATTTACAATAGCTGATTTACGATAGCTGATTTCGAATCAGGTTTTAGTTTTTCCAGTGGAGCTCTGTAAAGCGAGATATTTGGCATAAAAAAAATTGACCCCAATTCGCCTATGTTTAAGAGTTTTCTTTATCATTTCCCAAATTTGAAACACAGTGGATAGAACGATAGGCCGATAGGCTATGATTTTTCATAGGCTAGCATTCTATCTTAGTCTTCTCGGTTATCGCTTTTCGTTCTGATGAATGACTGATCGAACAAAGGAAAATGTCTGGACAATGAAATATAACATTAGAAAAAAGCTTTGTTGCTTTTTAAAAAATTATTTTCTCTTCATCCTAACAATTTACAGAGCTCGAAGCCTAAAATAGCGATTTTCTAATGTCATATTTCATTGATGTTTCAAATGATCCGCCATGTTTTTTTTTGAGATTCAGTACTAGACAATGAAATATGAAATTAGAAAATCGGACCCATTTTTGCGGCGTCGTAACTTCTCAATCTTTTTATGTAGACCATAAGTGTTCTATATTTTCTGAAAGCTTTTAGATACTTATTAAGTTTACCTAAAAAGATTGAGAAGTGACGGTCAAAAGTCAAAAATGGGTCAAAAGTCAAAAATAACAAATCGATCGTCTGACTGGCGTATAGGGGCGAAAGGCTAATCGAAGTATCTAGTGCAAAAATATTCTTAAGATATATGTAAACAAAGCTTTGTTGCTTTTTTAAAAATTTTTTTCTCTTCATCCTAACAATTTACAGAGCTCGAAGCCTAAAATAGCGATTTTCTAATGTCATATTTCATTGATGTTTCAAATGATCCGCCATGTTTTTTTTTGACATTCAGTACTAGACAATGAAGTATAACATTAGAAAATCGGACCCATTTTTGCGGCGTCGTAACTTCTCAAATTTTTTATGTAGATCATAAGTGTTATATATTTTCTGAAAGCTCTAATCAACATCTCTACGATGGCTTTTAGACACTTATGGTCTACCTAAAAAGATTGAGAAGTGACGGTGCCGCAAAAATGGGGCCCATTTTCTAATGTCATATTTCATCGTCCAGCACGGTACCAGACCATACCATATTTTAACATTTCACAGAAGTTTTGCCATACAAACGATTCGGAATCAGCGTAAAAAGCTCTATCAGGTAGACTGGGTCTCATTTTGAAAGGTCACCTACCGTAATAGTGCCTCCTCCCGTATAGTCGTGTAGTCGCAAAAATTTTTTACTAAATCATTTTGTTCTAAGCGTCTGTACTTTCAACAAATTTGTCTTTAGTATCAAAAAATAGCCCTGAATTTCAGCTTTCATTTGATACTTAATCGCACACTGTAGCTTAAACAGGTGGCAAGAAAAATGCGTTTAAAGTTAGACTACGCACGCTCCGTCTCTCATTATGGGAGCGCTACTATTAGAGGTATTACGGTAGTGCCTTTTCCTTATTAGACATAGTTGCAACTTCCGAAAAATAATATTCAAAGGAAAACTGATCTTTTTGAACATGCCAAGCGAATGTCTTCTCTCTTTCCAAGTTCAGGCTCAGGCTCAGGCTCAGGCTTAGGCTTAGGCTTAGGCTTAGGCTTCTACTTCGACTTCTACTCGCCTCGGGTCTAAGCCTAAGCCTAAGCCTAGGCTCAGGCTCAGGCTCAGGCTTAGGCTTAGGCTTAGGCTTAGGCTTCTACTTCGACTTCTACTCACCTCGGGTCTAAGCCTAAGCCTAAGCCTGAGCCTAAGCCTGAGCCTAAGCCTGAGCCAAGCGAATGTCTCCTCTCTTTCCAAGTTTTCAATTGTTCCATAAAGATTTCCAGGTTGGAAATTGATGATTCAAGAATCTGGTTGGACTGGGAATGATTTCTGCCGAAATAAGTATCAATGTGAACGATTAAAAGCACACGAAAAAGAGTAAATCTTGAATAAAAAGCTAAAAGTGAAAGATTTTAGTGCTATTCACGTTCCAGTCGATTACGATCTCAAAGTTTGTCAGCTTTCCATTCAGAAATCAGAATTCAATTAATTGTTAAAGAAAAGTTGTAAAATTTTCAGAAAATTCCCCCAAAAACTGTGATGTTCACTGGGACATACAGTAATCAATTGCCAACAGATGTTTGCTATTACAATAAAGGACATCGGGTTTTGTTCATCAAAGATTTAACTCTCGGCAGTGGATTGCTAGCGTACGCTGTTAACAAGTGTTGAATGAAGAAAATGAAGATTATTTAAAATGTTTAGAAATCAGACTTTCGTCCTTGATAAGCTGAACAGAGCACTAGCCAAAATGCAGGATTCATATGAGAATTTTGCTCGCAGGTAAACGAAATCTCTGTGATCTCTATACAAAATGATTTGCTTTAACAGCTTTAACAGCTTTAACAGCTTTAAGCTTGAAACTATGAGCTTTAACAAAATGATTTGCTACAAAGTCTCTCGTCTATTAGAAAAGAGTTCTTTAATGCTTACATTTTATGCTTAGATCAATAAATCTCAGATTATGATATTACCAAATAGCAGTAAACCATCGTACCCACTTTCGTACCCGGCTGCTGCTCTGGAGAGTCAGACTTTGAAAGCATTCTGAAACTTTTCAAAACTTGAACTATCCAAGGACACTGTTGGCTGCGTTCCTTGTTGGTGCGTTCCTTGTTGGTTACGTGCTTTGCACCTTCTGACTAATGAAACCTGGGTAATTAAGCCATGCTGCTGGGCCCCAGGCCTCTACCCGGGTCCCAGACCCAATTTGATTTGTTTCTAATAGATTTGATTCTAATAGATTTGATTCTAAGAAATTTGATTCTAATAGCTTTGATTCTAATAGAGTTGATTCTAATAGATTTGATTCTAATAGATTTGATTCTAATAGATTTGATTCTAATAGCTTTGATTCTAATAGATTTGATTCTAATAGATTTGATTCTAATAGATTTGATTCTAATAGATTTGATTCTAATAGATTTGATTCTAATAGCTTTGATTCTAATAGATTTGATTCTAATAGATTTGATTCTAATAGATTTGATTCAAAACCATTTTCAGATACAGTGCACCCTATTTGCCGTATCGTCGAATTGAGTCTTCAAATGAGTCCTATGCCTTAAGAATTGCTTATCTATGGCCTCTCTTTCGTTTGTGTCTCATTTTGTTGGGTGTCTCGTTGGGACTACTGATTGGAGAAAGGCTAATGGTAATTTGAAAAATATTGGGAAAATCTTAAAATGAATTCAGGAGAGTTCCTTTCTACACATTCATCTATTGCACGAGGAGTGTCGTTGTGAGGGAAAAGATTTCAGACATCTTACAAGACATTCATTCATTGCTGGCACGTTGAAGATCAAGAGAATCAAGAAAATTGTCGAAAGATCAACGATTTGAATAAATTCTTGAGTGCAAAAATCAAGTAATCAAATGGTCAAAGTTATTGAAGCATTCATCACACAAAAAAAACATTACTTTTGTTTATTTCTCAAGCTGTGGGCACAACCAACGAATTGGATTAGCTTTCCATTCGGAAATCCTCCCATCAATGTCTAGAGTATATTTTTAGAAGCTATAACCAACGTTGGTAAAATGAACACAAAATGAGAACACACAAAAGAACACAAAATGCTATTTGAATTCGACCGGTAAGTCCGATTCGGTTCTGATCCGGTTCCCATTTAGTTCCCATTTGGTTTCAATTTGATTCCGATTCGGTTCCCATTTGGTTCCCATTTGGTTTCGATTTTGTTTTGTTTTGTTTTGTCCTTGTTCTTGTTCTTGTTCTTGTTCATCTTGTTATTTCATAATCTTTATTTTCCTGGAAATTATTTTGTAAAACATTTCTCATCACAACAACACCGCAAATGCAATTTCTTGTTGAGCCATTTTTCAAATTCAAGAGGATATTCAGAATTTTTGGGAAAAAGCACCAAAGTCGTGAAAAAAAGGGATAAAAGTTATAATTGATTTTTAAAACCAATATTTTTTTATAAAAAGTTATCACTGGTCGAATCACCCTGCGGAAAGCGAGCATCGCGCGGCAGAAATGGACCGTCGCTGAGCTGGAAATGGGTTGACTGTCGTTAAAAATTGGAAAACTATGATTGTCATTGGAAAACTATGATGAAATTTGTTTTTGTCTCTATTTTTCTATAAACCCTGCTTTAAAAATTTGAAACTTGACTCAGTGAGCTCATTCAGAATCAATGTTTCAACATAAGGAACCAAATTTAGAGAGGTGAGGAGCCAAATTTGTAGAGATAAGGAACCAAATTTAGAGAGATGAGGAGCCAGATTTAGAGAGATGAGGAGCCAGATTTCTAGAGATGAGGAGCCAGATTTAGAGAGATGAGGAGCCAAATTTCTAGAGATGAGGAGCCAGATTTAGAGAGGTGAGGAGCCAAATTTGTAGAGATAAGGAACCAAATTTAGAGAGATGAGGAGCCAGATTTAGAGAGATGAGGAGCCAGATTTAGAGAGATGAGGAGCCAGATTTAGAGAGATGAGGAGCCAAATTTCTAGAGATGAGGAACCAGATTTAGAGAGATAAGGAACCAAATTTAGAAACAAGGAACCAAATTTAGAGAGATAAGGAACCAAATTTAGAGAGATAAGGAGAGATAAGATGTGAAGCGACTGCACCGATTCCGAAAGGGATTTACATTGCCACCTTCATTTTGGGACTTGGGGTAAGTGAAGCCTTCGAATATCTTACAATGTTTCAACAGAAATGAGTCGGTGCCGGCGCTTTAAAAGCTGGTTTTGTCAGGGATCTATTCGGCCGTAAATAAACGAACTTTTTTGGGAAAATGGGCTTTTTAAAAATGATGGCTAAACCAAATGAGCTCTAGTTTGTATCATTCGAAACATATATCTTCTTTCAATAAAATCACTTTTGAGAGATTTCGAAAAGCTTTTATTTTTTGAACATTTTCAGAGATGCAAAATCGTCAAAATTGACAAAAACAGAAAAGCGCGGATTTTACAAGATTTTGGACAAGTAGATGCTAGTTTTTTTGCGCAAAATGAAGCTCTTCATTTCTCAAATTTTCATTAAAATTTTCAACCAAATCCGTCCAGCCGTTTTTTCTGAATTTTGTTTTGAAACAGTTTTCAAAATGTTTTCAAATAAAGAATTTTCTCATTGAATTGAATAACTTGAAATTTGTAGAAAACGATGGATTTTACTGGAAACTTTTAAAACTTAAGATACAGAACCAAGTTTAGAGAGATAAGGAACCAAATTTAGAGAGATAAGGAGATAGAGAACCAAATTTAGAGATATAGAACGAAATTTAGAGATAAGGAACAAACGTCGAGAGATAAGGAACCGAATTTAGAGATCTAAGGAACCAAATTCAGAGAGATAAGGAACCAAATTTAGAGAGAAAAGGAACCAAATTCAGAGAGATAAGGAACCAAATTTAGAGATCTAAGGAACCAAATTCAGAGAGATAAGGGACCAAATTAAAATTAACCAAGTAACAGAGATTGATCTTTTTCTTTGCCATAGAAAGTTAGTGTCAGTCTCGATTAAAAAAAAGTTGTCAACCGTCGATTCTCGCCAATTTTGCCTCCTACTCGTCTTTGTGCTCCCGAAAAACCCGAAAAACAAAAGCTTTTTTAAATTGCCAACAACCATTTTCCAGAGGAAATCTAGAGCTTTTCAATGGTGCAAATCCGTACTTCATTTGGTCCATTCAACATTTGTAAAAACTGCCAAAGAAAGATCAATCTCTGTTACATTTTTAGGAAAATTTTCAGTAAAATCCATCCAGCCGTTTTCTACAAATTTCAAGTTATTCAGTGAGAAATGAACAAATGAATTTGAAAAAGAAATGAAAATTCTTTATTTGACCACTTTTTAGTGGTCACTTTGCAGTGAAAATTCTTTATTTGGCCGCTTGAAAGTACCCGGGTACTTAGGAGTACCATTCTCCTTTACCCCACGGACCTACATCCGCTACAGTGGCGCACGGAGGACATCCGCTGCCGATAGAACCTCAGTAACTCCTGCTTTTTATGACCCCCTCCGTGGCCATGGACGAGAAACTGCGCGTTTATCGGTCCCAGGGAGTCCAAATCATAAAAGCAAAAAAGCATCGTCTGGCACATCGACCAAGTGAAAAAGTCCGGTTATTTATAGAAAGAGAACGATGAAAAAAGTGTCAAAACTTTTTTGATCAACCTAACACTTAGAAAACTTGAATGTTAAGGCTATAAAACCATAATTTAGCCATTTTTTAACGACTTTAACGATATTGTTTAGCTTTTTGAATTCAAAATCGAATCTTTGCCTCACTCACTTTGCCGAAATCGACGAGAAACTCCTTGCTCAGCTGCATCGTGCTGTCTTTGGCGGAAATCTCGACGAGCACGATTTGACCGCCTTCTCTAAAAATTAGAATTGAAATTTAGAGTTAAATCTTGAGTTCAATAGAATTGGAAGAAGCTATAATAGGCTTTGAGGGGTTTATGATTATAAAAATGACTGTTAACTTGAGTAACAAATCAAAAAGTTAAGTTGAATTGCTTTTTGAAGGCAAAGCTTTTAAATGCCACATAAAAACGAATTTGTTTGTTTGTTTTTCTTGTAGATATGTTGGAATCGTTGGAATTGATCGAAAGCTAGCCATAGAATTATAAATTCATTCAAAATATTTGCTTTTTTGTTTTCAATATTAATTTAATGGGATAGAGAATCTGAATCCGTTATTAGTTTTTCAGCAAATTAAACTTTCAAGCCAATACGGTCATCACAAAACTTTTTAAAACTTGAGTCATTAAACCGCATGAAATATCCAAAAATAGAGCAGTTTTTTTCAAAACTGAAAACGGATTCGAATTCCTCATCCTCGAAAACCCCTAATTGCAAATTTTTAGCCCAATCGGTTCAAAAAAAGTGTTAAATCCATGCCCGGTTGGCCGTATCGTCAAAAATGTGTTTAAAAATAGATAAAATAGATAAAAAATAGATGGCTCTTTGAAGCATGGCTCTTTGAAGCATGGCTCTTTGAAGCATGGCTCTTTGAAGCATGGCTCTTTCAAACATGGAAAATTTACTTCAAAAGACAAAACAAATCCTTTTTTTCTTTTTCAACACTCACACAATCAATTCGGGGTAAAATTGCGCGTCCCAGGGCTTGTAGAAAGAATTGCCCACATACAAACGCCGTCCATCTAAACTCAATTGCAACGAAGCTGGTCCGCCCCGAAAAGCGCAATCCTTGATGATTGTCCTGATTGGGTGCAAGTGCTCCTGAAATTTGCGGTAATAATCCATATTTTTTGTGCCACAGATCTTTCAAGAGCCTTATAAAGTTCTCCAATTCAAAGTTCTCCAAAAGCCTTATAAAGTTCTCCAAAAGCCTTATAAAGTTCTCCAATTCAAAGTTCTCCAAAAGCCTTATAAAGTTCTCCAAAAGCCTTATAAAGTTCTCCAATTCAAAGTTCTCCAAAAGTTCTCTCATTCTCCAATTTCTATCTCCATTCTCTCACCTGTCCCAAATCAAAACCGGTAACCCGAGAGCTGTTCGGTGATTGAAGAATGCCGCCGAGTTGGACCTGATATTGTTTTTTTATCGTTTGTTTGCTTATTTCAAAAATATTATAATTGAAAGCCGTTAAAAAGAAGTAACTTTGTGAGATTCCGGTTTTAAATGTTTAGCTATAGGTGGAATTAATCTTTACTTTACTTTCAAATACCTGAAAAAATTCTTACATCAATTATTGCATATTTTACATCAACAAGCTGATTTATAAGTATAAAAGAAAGCGCGTAATTTCATCCTTTTATTCTTGGCCTTTATTTCATTTCACTCTTTTATTCTTGGCCTTTATTCTTGGCCTTTATTCTTGGCCTTTATTCTTGGCCTCATTTGATTCCTTTTGGGTATTTCTGATGTGGTTTTCTTTGTATTCTTTGAGTGATGATGACACAATTTTGTGAAAGAGATTTGCATCAAAACAAAGAAACTTCTTTCCAAATGGCATACGATCCATACATGGGAGCGGACTTTCGTCTTATAAAATCGTCTTCAATCGTCTTACAAAATTAGTTCCACCACTAACGCATCTCTTTATTTTTTTGCGTTAAACTTTAATTAACTCGACACTACGATACTGCAAGATGGTTTTATGGAACAAAAATAAAATGAAACTTGGTAAATTGCTTACAGAAAATGGAGAAACATCTTTTCTTAAATACCTAGAGGTTGCTGATTCGATTCATTTAAAAAAAATCATGGCTGTTTCAGAATAATTACTGAAAGAGAAGCAGAATGGGCAATCAGAAATACGCAAAAAAGAATTGAAATTGCCGATTTCAACAAAAGCGTACGGACAGACCGACGGACGTAGATGTTATTTTTTTATATATAATGATACTATCTAACTATGGCACTATAGAAGAATAAAAGTTATACTACCGTATTTTCTCTAATAGTAGTGCACCCTGAGCGTCGCCTAAATTCCTCGAAATCTCGAAAAGCGCTTATCAGAACCTATCGATGTGGGGTCGGAAAATGTAGCTGACGATGAGATCTTATGGGGGATTTGAGTGTTGAGCTTCTGGGAGAACTTTGGAAACCGTAAAATAGTCACCAACTCGGCTCAGCGGAGTGCACTACTATTGGGTTGGTGAATTGAAAACTGTCGGACTTTGAAATAAAATTTATTCAACATAAATCCATCAATTCATTCCAAATAATTTCCATTATTATTGACGAATTCTGTTCATTTTACAGGCAATTTGCGGATTCCTCTTTCGTAGTAGGATTTTGGTTTGTGTGTGAGACAAGTGTGAGACTCAAAAATCGAGGACTGGAGATGTCCCAGTTTGAGCATTTGAGCACTTTCTTCAAAAGAAACCCATTTTGGTGTCAATAGAAAAGTTGTAGAGAATCAAAAATTAGGCTTATAGCCAAATTTCCAAAAAGATACACTTAGTAGTTTCGCTTAGAATGCAAGTTTTGTGAAAATTTGGCATTTCTTTTGTGTAAATTTAGCATTTCTTGAAAACCAGTTTTTGAATCGTTCTGAAAATTTGGATATAAGCCTAATTTTTGATTCTCTACAACTTTTCCATTGACACCAAAATGGGTTTCTTTTGAAGAAAGTGCTCAAACTGTGTCATATGACAATAGCCTGCAGTTTTCAATTCACCAACCCAATATTAGAGAAAATATGGTAACAGTTATCATAGACATTGATTAGCAAAAGCTGATTGAATTTGAATAACTTGAAACACTCACCTTTGAGAACAAGGTGCCTTTGAATGGATCAGAGATATCGTATTGGAGGATCATCCCGTGAAGCCACGCGGCAACATACAAAAATTTGTCGTCCATCGAGATCACCAAATCGGTGAGCATCGCCGGGAGACCATCTTCTGAAAAAGGTCCAATTTTTTATTTACTTTATTAACTTTATTTACTTTATTGACTTTATTTACTTTTTTAAATTTTTTTTTTGAAAACGCTTGAACAACTAAATTGTTTCAGTTCTTTTTAAGCAATTGAAATTAAAATATATTCTTATTTCAGTAATATCTTTCACAGAATATGGTGTTCGGGGCTGCACGCGTGCTACACTGGAGTCTGCAACGTGTTCCATGGCCGAAGGGTCACTGGCAAACCGTTGAAAAGATTCCGTGATCGGGATAGGGAATTGCAATTATTTCCCTTGAACGAGGAATTCCTAGTAAGTGTGAGTCATGATCTCGCTCTTAATACGTCCCTGCGATTTGTACACACCGCCACCCGGGACTGAACCGTTTCGAGAAATCCAGGGAATCGTTCGCGGGACTTGTTCCATCGCCCACACAGAATATCTCTACATACACTTAAACTTTGATAACAAAAAAACCACATTAAAAAACAGACTTTTTCGTATCCCGACGAGTAAAGAGTAAAATTAGTTTAATTTTAGCTTTGATAATAAAAATTACGGCTTTTAACCCTTCACTAAGTAGCTGAATTCTAAAAAAGCATAACAAAATGGCTACAACAAGCAAAACTTTAAAATACATAGTTTAGTTAAAATTAATGCTACTAAACTTATAGGTTTGCCATTAAAATTATAGTTTTATGAAATTAAACTTCTATTTTTGTCCTTACAAGGTACCTAGCTTTACAATAAATTTCGATTTTTGAAGAAATACCATTCTTCTTTGAAACTTAAACTTTACTCACCATTCAACGGATCGTTTGAACCGGAGACTTAAACTTTACTTTACCGGAGACTTAAACTTTACTCACCATTCAACGGATCGTTTGAACCGGAGACTCTGATCCGTGGCAGTTGAATGATCTTGTCAGCTTTGAATTCACCACTTAGCTGCAAATAAAGTATTACAAAAACACTATATTTTGAAAGCCTCAAAGCTAAACCTCAGCTTTGAAACAACAGGTTTAAACTACTGATCAATTGAGCAAAGTTCGACAAAAGATCTATATGAAAAAAATCTGGTTTCAAAGTTCTTTGGATTAAGCTTTTAGCAGAAATGTTAATACCTTCAAAAGAGGTTTTTTTAATAAAGTCTTATTTTGTTCAATTTCTCATTATTTTAAGTTAATTTCAAGCAACCTGAAAGTGCTTTTCGCAAAAAAATCTATAAAAATCTCTACGAAGAGATTGGCTGAATGAATTTCTCTGAAAATTTGGCAATATAACGAACTCTTTATGCTCTATCTTTTATTTATTGACACAAAGATAGGTTTCCTTAGCTAAAAGTGTCTAAACCGGATCATCGAGCGACTTTTTGACTACCCGACTTCACGTTTCCAAAAAAAATGCAGACATAAGACATTTCTAAACCTGTTTTAGTGTTGTTTTATAGAAAAATAATAGAGCTTTCTAATGAAACAAACCATTGTTCAATTGGTGGATTTGTTGATTTCAAACAAGAGTACGAAAAGAAATGAAAAGACTTTCTGGAAAGCCTAATACATACTTTTCAAATTTTAAAACCAATTTTAATTGTTCAGGATTTTATTTAGTGAAGAGGTAAATTGAAAATGATTAAACTAAGAAAGCCTGTAGTCGAAATATATCAAATAACTGATTTTGTACTCACCGAATTCATGTGAACATGATAGATTGTCGATCCGAGCGCCGAGCAAGCGAATGCGTGATTGCAATCGGGATTGTGAAGAAAACTAAAACCAAAAAAGCTTTTTAAAGAACGTATTTATGCAGCTTTTGTAGGAAATCAGATAAAAAATGAATTATTCAAGAGATTACCGACAATGAGAGAGTGGATTTCAACTTTCCACGACTTTAAAGTGAGCTAATGAGATCGTTAGACGATCGTTGGTTCGAATTGGCCAATTTTAACATCTTAGGCCAGTTTTTTACTAATAGATTTTGATGTTTTTGATTAATTGAATATTTTTGAATAATTACAAATGATTATTCAAATTATTTGATCATTGGATTAATCATTTGAACCAATGCAATGCTGATTAGAAAACATTTTGTTTCAACTTAAACCATTACCCATGAAAACCATCACCACTTAATCCACGAATCCTTTTTAAACAAAAATTTTTTAGTTTTACATGTAAATTCTTCTCTTATGTAATTTTATAATAAATTTATAATAAAATAAAGTTTTTCTTTAAATTACTGACCGTATACACGTCGTCAATGATCCCTCTTTTGGGTCTAAGTCAATCGTTTGCTTTAAAAGTCCTGGCGAGATTTGCCAAACGTTTAGCCGATTTCCAAAGAGAGCTATAAACTTCAGATTGGTTTTGAAGAAGTAGAAAAGCTGTTTCAAGTCACCATTCCGGCCACTCTTGGCCGAAAACCGAAAGTTGATTTTTCATCATTTTTCAATCACATTTTTCTCAGCGCTGGTTAATGTTAAAAATCTGTATTATATCACAAAAAAATCACCGATTTTCTCTACTTTAATTTGATACCAAAGCGTGGAGAAACAAATGTACTGGTGTCAAGATATGAGCGTTTGTTTGAGAGTAAACTTTGACTACGCGAAGCTCCTAAGCGTCGCGTCTAAGTTTACTCTCGAACAAGCGCTCATATCTTGACACCAGTACGTTTGTTTCCACACATTTAGATATCAAATTAAAGTAGAGAAGATGGGTGATTTTTTTGTGATATAACACATATTTTTAACATTAACCAGCGCTTAGAAAAATGTGGTTGAAAATCGGCGAAAATCGGCTCTTTTTTGCTACTTTTCCATCATTTTTTCTAAGCGTTGGTTAAAGTTAAAAAATCTGTATTATATCACAAAAAACCCCCATTTTCTCTACTTTAATTTGATACCAAAGCGAGGAGAAACAAACGTACTGGTGTCAAGATATGAGCGTTTGTTTGAGAGTAAACTTTGACTACGCGAAGCGCCTATAAGAGGCTTTTCTATATAGGTAGTTATCCTTTTTTTTCAGTATCCCTACTACCACAGCGGCTACAGCTATTACGGTAGATAGCTGTCACATATAACATATATTTTTAACATTAACCAGCGCTTAGAAAAATGTGATTGAAAAGTGGCAAAAAAAGTCGATTTTTTTATCATTTTTCAATCACATTTTTCTCAGCGCTGGTTAATTTTAAAAATCTGTATTATATCACAAAAAAAATCACCGATTTTCTCTACTTTAATTTAATACCAAAGCGAGGAGAAATAAATGTACTGGTATCAAGATATGAGCGTTTGTTTGAGAGTAAATTTAGGCACGACGCTTCTATAGGGTTTTCTATTAGAATATTTATGGATTTCGGTCAGCCATTCTTCCTTTTTTGTCCACTAGACTTCAACTTCATGTTGGTTTTTCAATATCAAATCAAATTTTACTGACAATGAATGAAAATTTTCATTTGAAAGTTTAAATGAGCACTCATAAAGAGCAAAAACATTAGATTCAGCTTTTTTTTTCAGCGTTTCTTTGTGTCTTTTTCTGTTTTAATGATCAAAATTGTTTCAAAATCTGATTAAATTCGAAAAACTTTCAAGACATTTAGCTGCTTTTTCACTTTTTTGACGAATTGTATCTTATTTCGCTTATTTCGATGAGCAATAAGATACAATTGATGAATTGATGAATTGTATCTTATTGCTAATCATTTCAATTGCTTTCAATCCGTAAAAATCTCAGTTTCAAGTTGAAAACAGCTTTCAAAGAGCAGCATTGAAATATTAGTTTTATTATATTAGTATTTATATTTATATTAGCTCGATAAACTCACGATTTTGCGGTAAAATCAGCGTCTTGATTGCTGATAATGTGCTCACCGAGTGGCGATCGTTTGAGGCCAATTCGGCCAAGGGGCTGTCTGCAAAAATTGATTTTTCAGAAATGAATGACTCTTGGAAATACAGAACTTTGTAGGTAGATGAAAAAATGAATCTATTGGGTTGGTGAATTGAAAACTGCGGGATTTTGAACTAAAATTTATTCAACAAAAAGCCATCAATTCATTCCAAATAATTTCCAATATTATCGACGAATTCTGCCCATTTTACAGGCAATTTGCGGATTCCTCTTTCGTAATAGGATCTTGGTTTGTGTGTGAGACAAGTGTGAGACTCAAAAATCGAGGACTGGAGATGTCCCAGTTTGAGCATTTGAGCACTTTCTTCAAAAGAAACCCATTTTGGTGTCAATAGAAAAGTTGTAGAGAATCAAAAATTAGGCTTATAGCCAAATTTCCAAAAAGATACACTTAGTAGTTTCGCTTAAAATGCAAGTTTTGTGAAAATTCGTAAATTTGGCATTTCTTGAAAACCAGTTTTTGAATCGTTTTGAAAATTTGGATATAAGCTTAATTTTTGATTCTCTACAACTTTTCCATTGACACCAAAATGGGTTTCTTTTGAAGAAAGTGCTCAAACTGTGACATATGACAATAGCCTGCAGTTTTCAATTCACCAACCAAATACATTGCCCAATAGAGTGTGTTTCTCGTGAGCGAAGCAATTACTCGAGTAAATTTGCATGAGTAATTTTTTACTCGAGTAATAGCTCGAGTAATTGTCGAGTATGGCGTTTCCTAAAAAGTGCGCCTGCGCGATTTTTTGAGTAGGTTTTTCAAAAAGAATAATTATGTTTTACATTGGAAGGGAATCTCCCCACCAAATCAATTAAACGGCTGAGCATCTTTAAAAAGTGTCGTATATAATGCGGGGCTCGTCATTTTTTCGCAATAATTTTTGCTAAAAGTACGGTAATTTTTTCCCAAGTGTACGTTTTAAAAAACGCATTACTCGCGGGGAACACACTCTAGCTCCGAGTGTGATTTTGGAGACATTAAAGGGGAAAAGGTAAATGTTTTTGGAGTGGTTGTAACTGTCAATGTCAATAATTGTCTTTATAATAATTAGTTCGTTTTCTAAAACATTTCCCCTTTCTCTTTCAACCGTAAAAATAAGATGGGGTCAAGAATTTCGTAGTTTCAAGCTAAGTGACCTCAAGTCTTGGCTAAATGGCCAAACCAAGCTTATAATATGACAGTTTGTGCTTTAAGAGTGCCTTTTTTTGCTTTTCTTTCTTTTCTTTCTTTCTTTTTCTTTTCTTCCTCACCACTTTCGTTGAAATCCCCGCGAAGAAGTCCGCTTTGAAATTGCCTTGGATGGCCCCATTCACAGGAAATGATCGCGTTAAATCTGAAACAAAACTCTCAAATTTCAATGAAATCAACGTTACTTATAGTTCGTTTAATGCAAATATAACCTCAAATTTATAAATTACATGAATAATAATTCTCTTTTTCTTTTGTTAATCCGATTTTCTTTGAGATAAACCTCGTCTGCAAGGCGAACTCTCCTCCAAACGTGGCGAATTCGCTTTTATTTATCCTTTCCCGAATTGTGAACGTTTTTCGATCGATCAGAAGAAAGTCTCCTGGAAGGTATTTAGAGATGAAATTCGTTTTATCATTTTAAACGTCCGGTTTAAAAAGGAGCCAAAGTCAAAATTGAGTGACAATACGGGGGATCCTACCCGCGTTGTGTGGGCTGTAGAAAAGCGCGCTCCCGACTGCTCCCGACTGCGCCAGGGCTGGATGATTTCTGGCTGAATGTTTTGAGTCTTATGTCGCCGTGGTGCAGTCGGTTAGGAAATGTCAGGTTAGGAAAATAGATCAACCACCAGGCCTCATCACTTTTGTCACCGTTGCGCAGTCAAGAGCGCGCTTGTTTGCGGCCCACACGAGCCGGGTTCGACTCCCGGCTGTGTCATAACTTTTGTTTTTTAAAAAACGAAATATGTGATGCATAACTATATAGAATTCTAAGCCTAACAAACTAAAAATCATATAAATCGGCCCACGGGGAGCCGAGAAAATTTGCTTTATTGGTCAAAACACGACCGAGAAAATGCTCGTACAGACAGACAGACACTTTTTTATATAGTATATGCCGAGCCCAATATTTTTAAAAATGAAACCTTTTCCGTGACCATGTCGATCTCCCAGACAAGCTACATGAATGGGTGCGCCGGAAAGCGGCAGAGTGTGAACGGAATACGGACACGACAAGTCACGCACCGTCAACTCTTTCGTTTCAATGACCTAAAAGGAATGAGAATAGGTCAATTCTTATAGATATTCTATAGATATTCTATAGATATTCTATAAATATCCTTCAATCTATTAGTCAAATTCAATTACACGTCAAAATTCAACTGTATGATTTTTTAAAGCACCGGATGACGATTAATTAATACCATGATCTGCTTTTTCATTTTAGTAAAGTTGAAACACGATTATTTGCATCGTATTTCAGATTCAAAAATGATCAACGACTTATATATAGCAATCATTTTTACAACAAGAGCAAGACATCAAGCCTTACTCTGACGGCAATGGAATGCATGCCGGTGTAGCTCATGGTAGAGCATTCTCCCGGTAGGCGAGAGGTCGAATCGAATTCGAATTCGGTTCGAATCCCTGCGCCGATCATTTTTTTGTATTTCCAGTTCAACCCATAAAAGGATAAAAAAATAGAACTCAAGAATAGACTCAATCCAACTCAAAGATACAATCAAAACTGGCACCAGGCACCGAATTTAACACCCAGAAAAATTGAAACACTGCATTTTTACAGCGCGTGTTTCAACTTTTATTAATAGAATGAATCGCTTCAAAACAACAATATTTTGGAGTAACTCACCTTTACTAATTTTAAAATCAATCCCTCAACGGAAACGATGTAGATCCGATTCGAGGCCATGCACGGGACGAGAAGATGAGAACGAGAGACCTAATTGGACAAGGTGCGTACCTGTTTCAATTGAAATGATCAACGTTATCAATGCACGAATTTTAGATCTTCAGTTTCAACTTATATAAGGTGAACTTGCTAAATTTACGCTCAATGAGCCGTCAGCGAGGTCAGAAAATAACGATAGGCTTTTCACAAATGCAGTTTTTGTTAAAAGACAGTTTTTGTTTTGTTTCTAGTTAGACAGACAGAGTTAGAAAGACAAAGTTAAAGTTAGGGATCGAATCGTAGCGCTCGAATCGTAGCGCTCGAATCGTAGCGCTCGAATCGTGGCGCTCGAATCGTGGCGCTCGAATCGTGGCGCTCGAATCGTGGCGCTCGAATCGTGGCGCTCGAATCGTGGCGCTCGAATCGTGGCGCTCGAATCGTGGCGCTCGAATCGTGGCGCTCACCAAACCCACCTTTGCCATCTCACCCAGATTCGCCGCTGATCTTGTCCAGTTCATTTTGCACAGTTCGTCACCGATTTGCGGAAAGATCAACTCACTGCTCACCTGAAACTTTTCGCGTTTCAAGTTAAACAAGCTTAAGGCCAAAATTGACTGTGCAATTGTGCTTCTCAGCTAAAATTTTATTTAGAAAGTATTAACCCTTAAAATCTACTATATTTTGATCAAAAAAACAGCCGAAACCTTTCGTTTTAGCTTTTAGAACTCAATTTTTCCATAAACTTAGCAGTTTTTCAAGGCTAAGCTTAACCTTAACCTTAGCTTTCAAGCTTGCCTAGCTTTCAAGTTGCCTTAGCTTTCAAGCTTGCCTTAGCTTTCAAGCTTGCCTTAGCTTTCAAGCTTGCCTTAGCTTTCAAGCTTGCCTTAGCTTTCAAGCTTGCCTTAGCTTTCAAGCTTGCCTTAGCTTTCAAGCTTGCCTTAGCTTCAAGCTTGCCTTAGCTTTCAAGCTTGCCTTAGCTTTCAAGCTTGCCTTAGCTTTCAAGGTTGCCTTAGCTTTCAAGCTTGCCTTAGCTTTCAAGCTTGCCTTAGCTTTCAAGCTTAAGTGTCTATTTCTTATGAAAATTAAACAATAATATTTTCATTGTTCCATGAAAAGTAATCAAAAAATAAATGAAATTCGAAAAAAATGGGTTCCCAACCTTTTGATACGCAGCACTCTCTGGATTCAAATCGATCACGATCAAACGATCGGGCTGAAGATTCAGCGAATGCGTGCAACAAATGATCATGTAGGGTTCTCGCTCGAGTTCTGTCTGCAAGTTGGAAACTTTTTTTTTGGTGGATACACAGGATTAATCTCAGTTTTAACTGTACTGGCAGATCTTTTCTGAGACTTTTATCTTTTATCTTTCCTTCTCTTGACTGTATTTCGTTGTATTTTATTAAAAACTTGAAACGATAGTTTGAAACGTTTTTTCTTGGTTTAAATTTGAAACGCAAAATCATCTTTGGTTAATAGGGTTCAAATTTGGATTTGTATAGAATTTGTTTGCTTTTTAACCCCATTTTTGAAACCAGCTTCTCTTACCGCTCTATTAAAGGCCATCGTTCTATTTTTCATCGTCCCTAATTTGAAAGAATCATCTCGGATCATAAAATTATTATTTCTGTTCAAGAAAATTTCCGATAACATTTATTGAATATTAAAAGAAAGGAATGAGAATAGGTAAATTCTTATAGATATTCTATAGATATTCTATAGATATTCTATAGATATTTTATAGATATCCTTTGATCTATTAGTCGAATTCAATTGCACGTCAAAATTCAATTGTATGATTTTTTAAAGAACCGGATAGCGACTCCATTAATACTAAGATCTGCTTTTTCATTTTAGTAAAGTTGAAACACCATAATTTGCATCGTATTTCAGATTCAAAAGTGGTTGATTTAATGATCAACGATCAATATATAGCAATCATTTTTACAACAAGAGTAAGACATCAAGCCTTATGACGGCAATACGGTAGCTTAGGTGTATTTTAGAATTTAGCTGGGAGAGTTGCCGGCCTGTACTGATTGACTACCATTTTTCTGATTTCAATGGCGACACCTTTGAAACCAGCTTCTCCTATTTGTGATTAGCTACCATTTTCTGATTTCAATGACCACATTTTTGAAACTAACTTTCTCTTTTTGTCTTGATCCATTTGTTATCGGAGATTTCATACGTGCCCCGCCCTTTTTGCCATTAGCAATCTAACTTTGAGCTCAAATTTCTTGGTATTGGGCTGTCCAATTTAAATAGTTTTTGTACCAATCGATAGAGAAAGACTTGGCGCACCTAATGGTACGAAGAATATTGAAAATGAAAACCCCCAACACCAAGATATTTGAGCTCAAAGTTAGATTGCTAATGGCAAATGTTATGCTGTTTGCTATGATCATATTTGCTATGGCGGGCCAATATTAAATGTCCCAAAATCCCATAAAGCCTCACCCCAATGTAATCGTATATCCGATGTTTCGTTTCTAACGGCGGTGGAGCGTAGGCTTTAAATTCTCTCAACTGTGGCTTCGGTCTTTCCTCGGTTTGTGGTCGTGATTGATTTTGGAGATCTCTTTTCTGTGTCGTCGTTGCCACCATCATCACTTGTTGCGTGGTTGATGAAGAACCATTTGCGGCGATCAGCACCGCCTCATGGCTCTGTAAAATCGAATATCATTTTATAAGTTAGTTATTAAACTTTCAGATCTTTTAGATAAAGTTCAGATAAACATTTAAGATATTAGGTTGTTCGGATATAAACAAGCGTTGTTGTTGTGAGAAAGAAGCTTTTAAAACATGTCTTTCTGTATTTAAAAGTACGTTATCTTGTGCATATTTGGAATCTTTTTAAACGGATGTTTAAACGGAACAAAAACATGTTATCCGGGTACTCAACCTTGCACGCTAACAACAGCATCAGAATCAGCATCAGAACAACAGCATCAGAATGCTCATTGCTTTACAATGAGCAATATGTGGGGGATATTTAGGGTTAGTGGCGGAGTCGATCGATTATGATCGATTAGCGATTAGCGATTAGCGGCGAGGTAAGGGAAAATGCATAATATCCAGCCATTTAACTGAATTGTTTGCATGCCTTTTGAGCTTTTAAACTGTCTTTTTACTGTTCGGTTGATGTATTTACTTAATCTGTTTTTTTTTGTGCGTTACTATGTTTGTTAATCTATTGATTGGCTGATGTATTCAATAAAGCGTTGAAGATACGAACACCACAATTTGAAGAAATACCTATTAGGTTGTTCGGATATAAACAAGCGTTGCTAAACTTATTGTTGTGAGAAAAGCTTTTAAAACATGTCTTTCTGTATTTAAAAGTACGTTAACTTGTGTATATTTGGAATCTTTTTAAACGGATAATTTCTTATTTTTAAGATCTTTTTTCTTGCTTTAGATGATCGACTTTAAATATTATCAAGTTTGCGTTCGACTTTGCGTTCGACTTTACGACTTCAAACTGGGCAAAACAGTAGCGGAATCTCATTGAAATTTGGTCAAAGCATTTGGGAATGATGTATTGTTCGAAAGCCGATGCTGAGCCTGGTTCCAACGCTTTCGGAATGGTGATGAAAGCCTCGAGGATGATGAACACTCTCGTCGATCTCATGACCTCAAGACCTCAAACGGTAGACAACGATACTTTGAGGGCTGCAATCGAATCGGATCCATGTCAAACGACGCGTGAACTTGCTCAACAGTTTCTATGTTCAAATTCTACTATTGATGAGCATCTCCACGCCATTGGAAAGGCGATCAGATACGGGAAATGACTTCCTCGCGAGTTAAGCAGTGCAAACGCTCGTTTTGGATTTGGTCAAAGCATTTGGGAATGATGTATTGTCCGAAAGCCGATGCCGAGCCTGGTTCCAACGCTTTCGGAATGGTGATGAAAGTCTCGAGGATGATGAACACTATCGTCGATCTCCGTCGACCTCCGTCGACCTCAAACGGTAGACAACGATACTTGGAGGGCTGCAATCGAATCGGATCCATGTCAACGCGTGAACTTGCTCAACAGTTTCTATGTTCAAATTCTACTCCATCTCTACGCCATTGGAAAGACGATCTGATGCGGGAAATAGCTTCCTCCCGAGTTAAGCAGTGCAAACGCTCGTTTATATCCGAACAACCTAATAAAAGAAAATTATTGACGATGATTTTATGAGGTTCAAGGCTTTCAACTCACTCATCTACCTATTCAAAACTAAAACATATCATCAGATTATTAATTTTTAAGCTAAGCGGCCGCAAGATTAGCTTTT